TCGTCTGTCAAGAGAAAGGAGGACATCTGATGACCGTGCGCTCCGAAAAAGCGGCCGATGTTCTCGGTGGGTTGTTGAGCGGCGCTTCTGGAGACTTTTGGCTTGGGCTGAAATATCAGTGTTCAGACTCAAACGATGGGTTGAAGGGATACAGATGGGTCACTGGAGACAACACAACCCACTACGTCAACTGGAAAAGCGACTTAACGGTTTGTTCTCCACAATGTGTTTCAGTGTCACAAAAAGTCCTCAAATGGACCGAAAGACCATGCAATGACCGAATCGAGGGTTATTTGTGCGAATACGACAACCCCGGTTACTGTCCGCCGCTAAGCATCGATGCACCAGTCTCATATCAAACTCATTTCGGATTTACATCAAAGGAAGAGCTCAAAGAGATTCCTCAATTCACCATTGGGACACTGCAGCCGCTAAGAACGAGACACATTTGTGTCGAAGGCGCATGGCTTCAAGCACCGTGGAGTTGTGAAGCTGCTGGTGGTGGATGTGATTATAAGTGCGTTCAGACAGGGCAAAGCTACGCCTGCATCTGTCAGCCTGGATTTAAACCCGACATCAACGGAGTCACGTGCAGCAAGCAGGACGATGAGCCTTGCGCGCAAGCGGAATGTGAGCACGAGTGCGCACGACTTGGCGATGCATTCGTGTGCACGTGTCGCGCGGGGTTTCATCTAGGTGCAGATGGGAAGTCTTGCGAAGGATGCAAACCCGGCTTTCACATTGAAGGTGGCGTTTGCGTGGATGATAACGAATGCGTGTTTGCACCGTGCGAGCACTACTGTAACAACACTGAAGGTAGCTATCACTGTGTGTGCTTTCAGGGATACATCCAGTCTGTGGAGGACATGCACAAATGTAATATGCACTGTGCGGAAAGCAAATGCCCAGCTAACTGTGATCGCAACAACAACGCCCAGTGTAACTGCCCTGATGGTTTCCTACTTGAAGAGCCATTTTGCGTTGACATAGATGAATGCGATAGTGGTTACTGTGACCATGCATGTGAAAATTCACCTGGAGGATTTCAATGTTCTTGCAATAAAGGATTCGTGCTTATAGGCAAGCTCCAATGTAGAGAAAACGTCGAGGGTTCCGGCAGCTCGACGCCTTTTGATAGTTTTATACCTACGAGCAGATCTCCAACAGACAAGCCAGTGTCCATCTCAGCTGGCAGTCTTTTAGGAATAATGCTTTGCATTGTTCTTTGTATTCTTTTACTGGTCTGCCTCGCTCGCTGCATAATGAGACGTCTTAGTAAAATGCACCGTTATGATGTGGACAAAGGCCACCATGCAATCTTCGATTTTCAACAGGTGATCATTGAAAAATACAGCCTACCACAGACATTCCCAAGCAGATATATAAAAAGAGACACTTAAAGTCGGACGTCACGCAAACTGAAATGTAAATAGAACATAACAGTGAATATATTTGATTTTGTATGTAAACACAAATATATTAGGCTTAGACAATGTCAGAAAAACGGAATCTTACCTTGCACAAGTTTGAATGTCAGGATTGCTGAATGGTGTTGTTTGAAGAGAATAAATGCTATATTTTCATATAACGTGTAGCAAAATTCCCGGTAACACTTTAGAATAATGATTCGTTGTTAACAAGTAACTATGCAGGAAGTAATAGGTAGCCTAGTACTACATTAACACTTAACTCAATACTATTAACTAATAGAGAAGCAAGATTAACTAAACAGTAAGTAGTAGCAAATTTAGGACAAGGTAGTTCCTTATTAGATATTTGATAATTACTAAAAAAATATATATCCTCATTGAGAAATACTTGCGAACTATGACCAATTAATAAATAATAACCAATCAATTACTAATCACAACAGTAACGTCTTAAAA